CCCCCCCCCCCCCAAAAGAAATTAAATAAACTATGACTTATCACCTTGCTAATGTTAACAGGCTGCATACAGTTTAAGATAATGGTTCCTCTCTTATTCCATCTCATTTGGCAACTACCGGTTGCTCCTCATATGACAGTGGGAGGAGGGTGACTCCTGTTGCCAGCACAGTGGCAACATGCCCCTGCTAGAAGGAGTTTGGAAATCACAGCAAATCAGTCTGTTTGGAGCCAGTTATAGCCAGACTATCACCTACTTCTCTGTCATTTTCACATTTGAACCTTCGCTGCAATAGCGTGCCTCTTGTGTTTAACACATTTTCTTGAGAGAGTGCTATGTTACGTAGCAGTTAAGTCATTCTGAATACTTGCTTTTAGAAAACCCAGGTGCACCTGCAGGGGAATATGTTTTTTCCAATTTCTATATCACTTCATAAACTAAAATTTCCACAGTGCTAAAAACACACAGATATTATTTATATATTCAGCCATGTTAAGTCATACACAGGACACACTCTTGGACTTGCTGTAAGTGAGAGGTCAGTGCTTGCTTCCTCTCCCAGAGCTTTGATCTCACTAATTTGTTGGTGCATTCACAGATTGTCTAGAGACCTGTGTGATCAGGGAGGAACATCCTGATGGGTCCGCAAAAGATGGAAATCGAGAACCGATTCCACTTGAGAACTGGTTCCAAAGTGTCCAATCCATCGCAATCGTATGCCTCTCAGTTTATCAGTTCCTTGTATTAATGCTGAAATGTTTTTATCTGACAGTTATACAATGCAAAACAATGACGTCAAACTCATTGCATCTACGCTGCTGTAAACTTGCAAGAAGGAGTCACGTTGGAGAGAAAGAAACAGTTCAAAGCATGGCTTTATTTTACACAGAAAGATAGTTGTGATGTCAAAATAATCTCAAGTAAAGGTGAAAACACCAACAATATGCTGAATCACCGCTTAAATTCCAGGAATTCTATGTTTCCCACACTTTCTGACAAGTTCCACGTACTTCCCAACCAGCAGTACATCCATTACGAGGGTAAATATTGTATGTTGTAATAACGTTAGCACCATGCAGATTTTTCTTCTTTGACTAAGAACCCCTACAGGAAAACAAATGCTTTACAAACATTAGGGATCCAAATTAAACAGCGGTTAAACACTGAAGCTTTTGCACAGTTACATCAATGGCCTTTTCATACTCTGTTTTTTTTACTCTGTTCGGACTCAGATAATAAAACAGTTGTATTGACACTGAAAACCTGTGTAGGCCCATTATTTTTTTCAGAAGGTCAGCAGAGGAATCTAACAATGGCATCGGTATCAGTAAAATCTTATCCTTATGCCATCCCTACTGCAAACACAAGTGCTTGCGAGCGATGCAGAAGGCCTGTCACAGACAGTCCTCTCTGGTTATAAAACATCCAAGTCCTCGGGTGATTTGTGAGCATCATCTCCACTAACAGAGGCCTTATGGTGCAGAATAAATGCCTCACATATGAGAGTTACAGAGGGCTGGGCTTTGGGAACCAGCTGATCCTAGAGGATCTACAGAACATCTGGCTGTCTGACCCCGCAACATCCTGATAACTTGATCTGCAGGGTCACCAATTTGAACTGCAGCGCAGGGCCAGCCTGTTAATCTCACACTGTTTATCCATCTAACCTCCTGCCTGGGCTAGTATATCATTTTCTGTTAGAATCTGACCATTATGGCTTACTTCATTGTATTGGTCAATGAGATTCGAGTCCTGGATCAACAACCCTTTCTTATTATTAGGATCAGGATTGTAATTTGATGCTCTGAAGAAGCTACAGTAGGCCAGCACATGCTCATTGGGCTCAGCAGCACCAAATGGGATTAATGAAGTATTCCTCTCATTATGTGACTCATAGCAATTCCCTGCCGTCAGAGACAAACGGATGGTGGTGAATGTGCCTACTGTCAGTGGGGGAGTTAGTAGCTGCCTGAAAATAGGCTCCTAGTTGAGTGATTCACATTCATCCCAAGTGATCCTCAGTATCAGTACCTTAATCAAATCTCTGTGATTGAGTTAGTTATACTCACAGTCCCAGATCTGAGGGGAAGGAGAGAAAACATTTCATTGGCTGAAATACTCTGCACCCCTACAGTAAGGCTCCTCTGTGTTCCTGCTATTCAAGGATTAAGTGCTGATATAGAGAATATCTGGCCAGCAAAATGCAAGGTGTACAACACAGGAAAGAAGAGAAACCTTGTAAATGTCAATGTAAAAGTGCCCAAATAAGTACAAACTCACTGTAAGTATGATGGGAAATGTTACCCTGATATGATTTAAAAGCATTTGCAAAAATAAGGTTAATCTTTTCAGACCTGCGTATCTTGAAATATCCAGCTGTTATGAATGGTGATGGTGGAAACCATGAGGAGCCCTTTAAAGCTTTTTTGAAATTTTTTTTTTCTTTGTCTTGTTCAGATAGTCGGTGGAAATCCTATACCGCAGCCTTTTTTATGCTTATACACTGTTTCAATTGAATTAGATTAAAGACATCCCATTTTTGGAAGTGGGCCTGGTGAGACAAGCAGACTGTACACACAAGCAAAAAACAGACACAAGCAGCACTTTTAGTATACATTTGCATATTAAAATCATAACTTCTGGTTGTTCTTTATAACACAAGCCAGTTCTAACTGACAAACTTTTGTCACCTTAAATATTTTCATTTACCTTCCGCACTTACTTCTTTACCTGGTAAATACAGAAGAGAGAGACTTTAAGAGTGTTTTTATTTTTTAATATAAATTTTTTTTTTGCATTGGTATGAACTTTTTGATACTGTGTTGCATTATTTTATCCTATTTAGCAGTGGTTCTCAACCTTGGGGACAGAACTACCCCAGAGATTAACCTGAGGGGCATCAAGATGATTTACATACAGGATAGGAAAGAAGGCAAAACATACTTCTGCTTCACAAAATAATGTTTTTTCTGACTTTTCTCTAATCTTTCATTTCATGTAAAGAACTGAAAAATTACTCAAATGAAACAATCCACTCTTTGGTGGAACTACTCATAAATCCATTGACATATGCAACATGTGACAAGAGGTCACAAGCAGGTAACGCTTCCTTTAAAGGGGCCATGAAGTAAAAATGCTGTGAACCACTGCTTTATAGGATCAGATGTATACAGTAGTTGTGACTATAATGACTCACTGACTCGTGTCTACCTATTCCTCAGGTACCTATCAAGGCCAGTGGATGGGTGGGATGCGGCATGGCTACGGCGTACGTCAGAGTGTACCCTATGGGATGGCCACCGTTATCCGCTCTCCTCTCCGCACATCTCTGGCCTCCCTGCGCTCCGAGCAGAGCAACGGCACAGTGCTCCAGGACCTCTCCTCCCCTGCAGACACGCCAACAGGCAGCCGCGGCGGCTTTGTCCTTAACTTCCACTCAGACAGCGAGGTCGTCACTGGCAAGAAGAAAGGCCTGTTCCGCCGGGGTTCACTGTTCGGCAGCCTCCGGCAGTTGCGCAAGTCTGACTCTCGGACCTCAATCTCCAGCAAGCGCAGCTCTGCACGCAGTGATGCCGCCATGAGCCGCATCAGCTCCAGTGATGCCAACTCTACCATATCCATCGGTGACGGCGAGCTGCCAGATGAGGACTTTCCTCTAGAGGACCATGTGGATGCCACCACGACTGAGACCTATATGGGCGAGTGGAAGAACGACAAGCGCAATGGATTTGGTGTTTCAGAGAGATCCAACGGGATGAAGTATGAGGGAGAATGGCTTAACAACAAGCGCCATGGTTATGGGTGCACGGTTTTCCCAGATGCCACCAAAGAAGAAGGGAAGTACAAAAATAACGTGCTGGTGCGTGGAATAAGGAAGCAGTTGATTCCTCTTAAGAACCCCAAAACCAAAGAGAAGGTGGATCGGGCTGTGGAGGGCGCACAGAGGGCTGCGGCCATTGCCAGGAGTAAAGTGGAAATAGCAGCTTCGAGGTACTGTGTTCCTGTGTGTATGTGTTCATTCATGCTTCTGTATGTGCATGTGGGTGTATACTGTGTTAACACAGAAAAGACAGGGTGAACATCCTTGTGGAGTTTATTTTCAGCACTGAAGAGTCAGAGCACTGGCCTGTTTGACAAATATCTCCAGGTCTGATTGAAGGTTCAGTCTTGTGTAAGTGGAGTCCCATGACAACAACTCCGACCTTTATACATCACCAACAGTCAAGGCTTTTGTGTAGCCAGTGTGATCATCCCTGGAAAAGGTTCTGTTTCTATTCTCTGCCCATATCTTTCATTCCCAGGGAGAGGGGTTTGGCATCTTGCATGTGTGTGTGTTGGTCTGTGAATGTGTGTGAGAGAGATTTGTGTGCCTCAGAGTTCATGTGCATGAGCAGTATAGCCATACCTGCGTCCGTGCCAAATGCGTCTCGTGTGCCCAATAACGATACCTGCTCCTCCTGCCAAGTATTGCTCTGATGTGGCATCTGCTCTTTAACAGGTGGATGAGATGTGACCTTTTCCTTTAAAGCCTCCCTTCTACTGGGACACAGTTCAGCGTACGCAGCATCACTTTGACATCCTCTGGTTTCATTGCATCAGGGAATTATTAGACTCAAGACTGTGAGGATGTGTACAAGCTGTGAAAAGATCTCTATGCAATCACGCGTGTTTTGATTTTTTTTCTCTCTCTCTCTCTCTCTCAAGAGGTGCACATGAATTTGCATGCATGAAAACACATGAACAACAATACGCAAAAGCAAAGACATGTTTATTGTCTTTCACACACATACGCCACACAAAGAAAATGGACACTCATACTCACACAAACAATGGTAGTTCTAAAAGAATTAGTCAATCAAATAATTAAAAGAAACATAATGAACTATACTTTTACTTAATCAATTAATCAGTTCAAATTAGTGTTTTATCCTGCTGGGCACAGCTTTGAACATTTCCAAATGTATTTTCTGTGTTTTATATAATTATAGAAGATTAAGAGTTTGCAGCCGAGCGGTTCTTTGAGGCTGTTCTGTGAGCACAGTGGTGCTTTGAGCTAAATGTCAACGTCAGCATGCTGACACGGTCGCAGTGACAATGCTAAGATGCTGATGTTTAGCAGGTGAAATATTTACCTTGTTGTTCATTTTAGTTTGGCCTGTTAGCACTAAACACTCTTTGCAGGTGTTTGGTCATAAACCAAAGCGCTGGACAAATATAAATTTGCTGATGATGACATTTTAAGGGATCATTAAAGTTATTATATACCTATTATCATTATTATAATTCATCCTGTAGGGAATATGAACATCTGTATCAAATTGCATGACAATCCAACCAATAGTTGTTGAGATATTTACCTCGAAACCAATTTTTTTTCCTTAAAGGAAGATGCCAGGGGATCATCAAAGTTATTATGATTCATCATCCGGGAATTCATTGTCTTCTTTTTTTTGTATGACAATGAATCTAGTAGATGTTGATAGGATAGGTGAAAACTGCGGGGGGAGGCGTCACAATAAGAGTCATGGGACCACCTTTAGGATTAATTCCCCTGGGAACCATGAATAGTAGTACCAATGCAAGCCATCCAATTATTAATCAGACATTTCACTAAAAACCTAAACAGAAATGTCAAAATGTCTCATGGTGGTGCTACTCATCAGTCCGTGTGGTTCATCCACTGGGGGCCATGAATGAATGTTTATACAAAATATCATGACTACCCATCTGATACTAGCTGAGATATTTCACTAAAAAAAAAGTTTTAAAAAAATCACCAGGGGATCACCAAAGTTAACATGGTTCATGCTCTGGGGATCATAAAAGTCTGTATATAAGTGTGTGGCAGTTCATCCAGTAGTAGCTGAGCTATTTCAGTCTGGACCAAAGTGGTGGACTGAACCACTGGCATGGCTAAAAAATAGTTTTAGGATTTTTCTTGGCTGCTGTTCTGATATGCTAAACAGTAATAAACCATTACTCTGTGCTTTGGTAATTTATAATGAGTGTCATTATTTTAACATTGCTAGACTAAATAATTAATCAACAATCTTTTTAAACTCAACAAAATATCCACACTCAATACTATAAAACACTGGAGTATTTTTTAATATTTTGACTCAGAGCTGCACCCAGACATTTACAGCAATACAGTCATAGCACACTCTGTGAATAGCAGGCTTTGTTATAATATCCAGACATTCTTTTAAAATATAATAATTCCTTTCCGGTGAGCGGGGAGAGAAAATGCTTTATTCTGCAGATTTCAAGGATATAAGATACAAAGATTACATAATATGGATTTAACATGCTTAATATTCAAACTCCTGCATACTGCTTGTTCCACAGATTAGACCTGTATCTGTGTCAGTTACGGCGAGTGAGGTTGAGATAAACCTACTGGGTAGAAGAGAAAAAATGGATAATGTGTTAAAAGAGAGGCTCTTTGGTTGTGCATTAGAGCAACAATTTAGAGCCAAAGGATACACATGATCTGATGCATAGCGCTAAGGCAACAACAGTAAAAGCATTCAAGCTGATACAAAGTGTTTATGGCAGCAAACAAGGTCTCCTGTACTGTAGTAAGTGATCAAATTACTGCTTGGTACGTGCCAATCATCATGTGCTGCTGGAAGTCTCAAGCTCCTCCGTTCTCCTGACTGAAGTCGAGATTTTTTAAAATCGAGGCAGAATTTGTGCTACGAACAGCTAGAATGACAGACTGTGACGGCTGTGTGTAAGCAGGTTATGTAAGTCTCATTATACAGTGCATGGCAAAAGATGCACTCGTATCGATCCAGTTCTAGTCACGTGACTCTCTGTCTTTGAATGTGGAGCGTACCCGGTGGATCCACGGGGGAGTGAGGGGGGGGAGACGGAGTCGGTGGAAGAGACAGAGAGAGTGAAAAATTGATTGAAGTGAGAGAACCAGGGGATAAATGTTGATTGGATGAGATGGGGAGAGGGGGGCGACTTTGCTGAGCAAGAGGTTTCTGAGGAGTCTGGAGTGGACAGAAATGAAAAGGGAGCAGAATTTAAAAAAACACAACACACACCCACCCCTCCCCTGTGAGTTACTGTACAGAAGCGCTATCCCATCAGCCTCTGGGGTGGAGCTGATGACCTCATGCTTGTGATCAGCCAATCAATAGAGAGCTAGTGTGATGAGCTGGAATGGAGCTCTGTGTCTGTGACCCCCATTCACTCTTATTTTGTCACCCTTATCTATTTAAAATGGACTTTCACACACAGTATGCTCTTGTGTCCCTGTGTGTGTGTGTGT